TGGAAAATAAAAGTGGTCCTAGAACTGAACCTTGAGGGACACCGGAAGAAGCTTTTATACAAATTGACTGAAAACCATGGTATTCAACTTTCAATTTACGATTACTTAAATATGATTCAAAGAAACGCAGAAAATGCGTAGTGAGTCCAACAATAGAAAGCTTGTTTAAAAGAATACTATAATCGAGGCGATCAAAGGCCTTGGAAAAATCAGTATATATAGCTTCAACCTGGCCACCCCTATCAAGGTACTCCGCAACATATTGTGTAAAGCATATCAGATTGGTCGCTGTGGATCTGCCTGGAAAAAAGACGTGCTGTGCCGTAGATATAATCGATTTTACAAGAGCGAAAAGTATTTCATAAATGACATTTTCTAAAACTTTTCTGAAATTCCAAAGGATGGGATATAGGTCTGTAGTTTTCTATAATAGATTTGGATCCTTTCTTAAAGATTGGACAGATTTTAGATATCTTCCAATAACTTGGAAAATTCCCTTCTCTTAAGGACATATTAAAGACCATGGTTAAAGGTTTGTACAATATCTTATTAAAAATGCCGGAATACCATGTGGTCCTCTAGTATTTTTAAGTTTTAATCTTTTGAGACCTTTAATGACATCTTCTTCTGTAAGTAGCGAAATGTTACAACTTACAACTGTTAATATTAACAACATTATCTAGTTTAGACATATCAATTTTAGTCTAATTAGTGTACGATGACTGAAAATATGTAGCAAATGCACTGACAATGTCTTGTGAATTGTTTAAAGGATTATTATCAAAACTCATAACATATAAATAAAAAAGGAAATATGTAATTCGAAACAATTTCTTGCTGACGAGTTCTAAAAGAGACGAAACCGGTCCAAGAATAATTTTCTATCTCTACTGTTTTTCTTTAGATATAATTCAATTCCTGTAGTGGTATTAGTCAAACGAATATTTTGTGATCTGTGGCTTAGAGATTTTATTGTTATTCTTTCTTTTATGAAACGAATTCTCGTATTCATTGAAATATGTTTTCGGCCTACAAAATACAAAACAACTCCGCAGATGATTTTAGTTCTAACTATATAATGTGTATTAATGTTTCTGTTAAATCACTAATAAAAGTATTTTAAGACGATATAATAATAGTTTACGATCAGTATGACACACTTGATAAAGTTGACCTGAAATTAATACAATTATTTAATATTATTCATTTATAGATGTCATATTTGAAAATAATTAACATTTGCCCTCTTATCTTAAAATAAACAGAAACAGAAATATTTAATAACCTATACATTATTCATTTTGTAATTCATATTTTATTCTTAACATCTTGTAAAAATAAAACCATCAAATATCTAGAAAATTTACTCTTTTATTTTTACTGTTTGTCAAATTTTATAAGATGGTTCAGGAAAATCATTTAAAGTAGGTCATTATACTACTTAAAATTGATGTAGAATTTATATTCAGGGTTTCTTTTAGAAAAGTTTTTTGCATAGATAAAAATTTACCAAAAGTCATTTTTAAATTATTTACCTATTATCGATAATTTTACAACCCAAAGATAATTTAGAAATATGATAACTGGCTTATTTGGAAGCAGTATTTTTAGTATCTTCTAGAAGAAACTTAGAGTAGTAGAAGTTAGTGAGTGCAGATTCTGTGAGGAGAAAGACGAAACCTCCCTTCACATTCTGACTGAAGCACTCCATAATCCAAGGGTATTATACCTAGAAGCATATCAAATAGAAGAGGGAGATATACCTAACTTGAAGCCACTCCAAATCTTACACTTTCTTGCTGCATTTGCGCACAATAGATCTTTTAGGTCGCAGTGTATTAACACCCCATTCTCAACATAACATATAAACTTTGGGAAGAAGGTTTTATTTTTCAATTCTGGAAATCAATTTCATGTCCTGATAAATTTTTCTAAGAAACTTTAATTCTAGAATATTATGACAAATTTTGTAAATGAATCACATATTTGAGAAACCCCACATGTCCACGAATGATAGTTTTGAGAAAAACGAAAAAAACTGTTTTATGCAAAATCACATTATACAACTGGAAATAATCTTTTAGGGTTTGTGAAGGTATGTGAATACGTTAGAAATTTTACGCAAATTTAAATATACATCTTTTGCTTCATCAATAAAAGCACAAAATGGCGACTGGACATGTGTGGTTTCTAAAATACACGTTTCTTTGCACAGAACTTTTTTAGTTATTTATTTCTATTTTATGAAAAACTTAATTCAATGGATACATGATTAACTAAATGTTTAATATTCAACAAAATCTTCATCTTCTCTACCCACTGTTGGCCAGGAAAATATTTCTTGATAAAAATTTCTTATCGGTTCATCTTGGTCGCGAGTAAATCGTTCAAATTTCTTGATGTATACCATTTTTTTGGCATTAATTGGTACCTTGACGTCTGGATAGGCAGCTTCGACGGGAAAAGATGTGATTGGCGTGGATGTGTTTAATTTAAATTTATGTTCGGTAAGACCATCAATGTAGTTGCGGGCAAGGACATAACCTTTTTTGTCTTCTGTGTGAGTGAACTGCATAAAGGTTGAAATAGTGAAAGAAACTTGCAGGTTTTCTTGTAGAATGGGGGCCAGCATGTATTGTATCTTTTAACACGCTGTTTTCTTCATCCATCAGATAAACGGAAAAACTTCCTTTGGAGCTTGACGTGATGATGAGTTCAGTATATTCTTTCAATAAAAAAATTATGTCATTTTTCTTTATCTTTCTTTTAACCACAGCGAAGTTCCTATCACAAGGCATGAAGGAATGCCCTCTTATCGGAAAATACTGATTAACAGTCATAAAACGTCCAAGATCTACTAGCGCCCCACACATCCTTATAACGCAGTGATTCTTATTTTGTCCGCCACATCCGTCGGAAAAAATATGATGTTGTTTAATAATTTTAGGAATTTCTCGCCTTATGTAGTCTATGATAAAAGAACAAACCTCGTTGGGTCCTTTCTTGCCCAAACCTTCATGATAGATGTAGAAGAACTACTCACTAGTGTTCAAATTATGGATAGTAAAGACGTTTACTGTCAGCTGGTGTAGGTAAAATGTATCCTGGACAGTAATCGAAGGAAGAGAGAGATTTTGAATGTAGTCAATACATATCCCTCCAACCGCTGGATCGTTTCGGCATAACTCTTGAATTGACTCCATTTTCGTGAAAAACTTCTTCGCTCTTCTTTGATAGACCATCTTTTCAGCAACAGCAACCCTCTTTGCAACATCGTTTAAACACTTCGATTTAATCTTGTTGGAAAGTTCTTCGCACGTACAACATGTATCCACTTGGGGCCTTCCAAAAGATAAACTGAATTTTTCTCGAAAAATTCGTCTATAAAAACTACTTTACAGAACATTCTGGGTATGTCTCAAGCAGAAGTTGATGCATCTTCTTGATGTCCAGTTTTTCACTCAAATATTGGTAATCCCTGTTAGTATAATGAGCACGCTTGACAGGAAAAGATCTAATGTGATCCTCTATCAATCTTATGACTTCTCCTGGTATGGCATTTCCAGAAGTTTATTTTCCTCGTTCGTTTCTAGGAGATTTTCCCAAAGAAAGTAGATTGGACAAACGCCGGACACAATCAGTGATTATGCCATGTATGATAAATGCTGCCTTGCATACTGCAAACTTATCAGAACTAGAAGATACATTGTATTTGAAAGTATGCGATTTAGGTTTCGCACCCTCTGGATGTACTCGTGGTCGTTTTCTTGTCACTGGAGTACATTCTATCAAAGCCTGGAGATATGCACCCTGTTCTTTTTTTTTAGTAAAAGCGTAAAACTTCTTAAATATTTCAGCACGATCACCTTCGGGTATTTTTGAAAAACATTTTGCCCTACACGTGAAAATTTAACACCGTGTAGTCGTCAATATGAAACAAATTAATTTCTTGCCGAAGTGAGGTTAAAAATTCACATAACTTACCCACAGTTTTGTCTTTGGACTCAAGCATTTACTGCATTTCCTTTGTAGTTTGTATATGCCTCGCCTTTCACCCTTGCTTTTTTTATAACTTCGCAGTTATAAACAACACTTTTAACACTCTTTTTCGTTTTGTTATGACATTGTCGTGAACCACATCTTCATCGGACGACAACATTTTCTTAATTATATTTTTGAAATATTTACGTCAAACGTCACTGCCTGGCGCTGCACTTGGCCTCTATCAGCACCATCTAGCAGTATATTTTAGAAACCTCTCATGTCCGGGACATGTGGGGCCCAATTGTGGGGTTTCTAAAATACATGACGATTTCAATTATGAATTGTAAGCAAAGCAATCAGCGGACTTGTGTGGTTTCTCTCTAAAAGATCTATCTATATTAGGTAAGTTGATTTTCGGTAAACACTCCACATGCCCAAAATGTGGACATGTGGGGTTTCTGAAATATGTGATTCAAATATGGTCAAAAGTCTTTTAATTTATAAAGTTCTAAACAAAACTAATTCTATAATCCTTAATTTTTGTCAATAATAATAATTGTTAAGTAGAATGTGAAAAGTAAAATTTGCAGAAACTATAATCGTACGAATTAGATAAAACTAGTCATTATGATTAGTTTTTATAATCAAACTAAGTTGTTGCCAATTGATGAACGAATACACACTCCCAAATTGTTCCCAATATTACGATTTTTAGCAAAGATTATTTCCCCATATACCAAGACAACAAGTTTATAAAATACATGCTAATATTCTTATCAGTTCGAGTGTATGTATAACTTTTAATCAACTATGATTCATCCTTTAACATTTTAAGTATACCTAAGTAGATAAAGGATACACATGCTGGCATATTAACACTGAATTGACTTAGTTTTAAAGTATAATGGTGTAAACCAACTGAAGTGTTAATTATTCAAACGATATGAGCATGAAATTAAGTCGCCTAAAAAAATTACCTTCATAATTTTTTTAAATTTTTTATTTTTTTGTTTCAGGCGGCGAATTTGTTGAAAAGGACGGAAGGTTTGGTGACACTGGTTGTCTCCAATCCTGGTAAAAAAGATTCTGCATCTTCTTCCTCGCCCAACCCAACGATTTCGTCCAATAACGCAATTGTAGAAAATAACAAGAATGCTCTTTCTAAACCTTCCAACCTAAAGCCCTCGGCACCATCTTCTAGACCCACCACACCTGTACCTGGTATGATAATGCACTTTGTATATATATTTTTGTATAATACACAGTTTTAAAAAACGGAAAAGAAATTCATTAACATTTATTAAAATCCAACTTGACACACAAATAGAAAGTTTGGTTCAGTCGTGTTTTTTATTTTTAATCGTAGTAAAATTTAATTGCATGTACAAGTATTTATTGTATATAAACTTAAAAGTAGAGGAGAAGGTACAAATATGGGCTACCATTTGGTTTAATTGACATATCTGACACATTTTTAGTGTTTCTGTTCTTTTTGCGGAAGCTTTTCTAAAATTTTATTTTGTTCAAATAAGAGTGACTTAATAGCAGTCATTTTTAAAGTGATACAAATATGGGCTACTACAGAAAATACCTACAAATATTAACTTAAACGTTTTATTCAAAGGCTAAATTGGAAAAAACAGGAGCAATTACAAAAGTAACACACTACTAATCAGTGCGACAAAAGTCACAAACATAGTCATCTCTGTCAGCGCCGGCACAGTACACATGGCACCATGTGTTCTTTTATTCCTGCTCTGTAATTGGGATTGCCTGTAGAGCATTGTAATAAATAAATAAATAAATAAATAAACTGCACATTAAACACTGAGCCCAGAGTTCACCTTTGCGGTCTTCAGAAAATCTACTTTCGCAGAATATGCATTCCGGATCTAAATCATCTGGTTTCTTTTGTCCAGGTATATCATCTATATCTAAATCGTCATCCGCTGGCATAAACTGTGTTTCGTCGTCTTCACCTTCAGACTCTTCTATCGACTGCTGTTTTTTATTCTTCTTTGATGCTTTGGACATCGAGATCTTTACGGCAGATTGAGAAAATACTTTTTTTTAACCTGTTTAACATTTTGCTTATTTTTATTGGTAGTGCTTAACAATAATTCATCTTTATAAGGGGAGGAAGTAATTACCGCTGCTTGCGATGCTTTCCTACCCTTATTAGTTGTTTTCTTTTTAGATATCGGAACTGGCGAAATATCAAAGGGTGACAACATTTTTCTTTGCATTCCAGATGGTCCAGGTTGAGCGTTGTCCTGATTGGGTGTCTCTATATTCGATTGAGATGTGCTTGGTGTGGTCATTCTTTCAGAAGCCGAATCGGACAAAACATTTATGGTGATACTCAATTCACTTTCAGCGGTGCAGTGTTCTTTTTCTGCTGCTATTTCCGCAGCAAGAAAGTCCGCTTTTAAAAAAATATTTTTATTCAACGGAAAAATTCCAGTAGCGCGGAATCCATTTACTGCAATTTCTCCAGTCTGGGTTTTGAGATAGGCCTTTCCAAAAACTTTGCCAATGTCATATTGAGATAAGGGACGATGATTGTGGCGAATCCATTGTCTAATCTCCTCACTGTAGTAAGCCTTTAACGCACCCATGAAAGTTTTGTCAAGAGGCTGTAGTTTATGGGTGGAATGAGGGGGTAATGAGATTATTACCACGTGATTTTCTCTAGCCGTATTGACAACTTCTAGGTTACGCGTATGACTATAATGCCCATCTAAAATTAGAAGAACAGGCGAAGTTGCAGACGGTTTTACAGTGTCAATGAAATGTCTGAACCATTGGGTGAATGACGTAGCCTGAACCCATCCATTAGGGTGAACTGCTGATATTGATCCTGGAGGGGTGCCTTTCATTAGTTGAATATTCATATATTTTCTAGGAAATATGAGCATCGGTGGTACAAAGTCTCCCCCGGTACTCATGCAGGCTATCAAAGTGATTAAAGAACCCCGCTCCAATGAAGTTAAAGAGGCAATTTGTCTTTTTCCCTTACGACCTACTACTTCAGCGACCTTATTTTGCACAACAGTCAGACCGGTCTCATCCACATTATACACGCGATTAGCTGGGAATTTGTATTTTTCATACGCTTCCTGCAAAAGCGTAAAAAAGTTGTCAACACTTTCTTTGTTAAACCCTTTGGCGCGAACGAAAGATGTCCCAGTGGGTTTTCTAACTGACAAGGCATTTTTATGCCTTTGCAAAAATAGATCTAACCAGCCCCTTCCTGCTGCTTGTGTGTTTCCAAGAGGATGCTTTATTCCATTTCTTTCTGCCAAGCAAAAGGCCATACGTTTAATATCTTTGCGAGTTAAGCCATAAAACTTGGCTTCCATTTCAAGGATGTAGCGAACTAATGTTTCTTCCAATTCTGGATTTAAAACTACCTCGACCAAGTCTAATTTGAACAATCTGTTCTACGCTAAGATGGTCGATTTTGGCTAATCGCTGCACTGTAGTCCTTGGAACGCCAAAAGTTTTTGCTGCTTTTAGAGTACCCATTCTTTTTTCTCTTACTGCTTGAACAGCCCTTTTCATATCCTCTGTATCCCACGTCTAAAACAAAACACACAATGAAATAGAGATTGATACAAATATGGGCTAGCCCATATTGCTAACGCAAGACCAGTCGATATTGGAAATAAGCGCAATTAAATTGATAATTTTACAAATATTTTATATATTTAATCTATGTAAATAAATTGAAAAACAAAAACTAAAAATACAAACCTTGTGCTCAAGTCTGATCGTTAAAAATCGACTTTGACATCAAAAACAATTGAGTTACAGCCACAAATTAGCACCACTGCAAAATTTATAAACACCAATAAAATACCAATTCACACTAAACAAAACCACCTCTGCGAAAAGAAGAAACCAGTAATCACTAAGCGGTTACAAATGCTAACGCGCATATAATTGTGATGTCAACCAATAGATGGCTATCGTTGTACTGGAAATATTACCATAGCCCATAATCCAAGCCTAGCCCATAATTTTAATAAATGTTACTGCACATTTAAATAGTACGCGTATCAATACATGAAATAATGTAATAATATTTAATGGCACCATCTTGATTTTCTTACAGTCAATTTTTATAATGGCGACTACAATATTATAAATCAGTTTTTACAAAATTAAAATCAAATATATTAATCTGTATTTTTAAAATTCTACACAAATTAGGTACCATCTTCATTTATTGTTAACTTCTGCATTTTCCAATAAGAAATTGAACATCTACACAGCACCGGGCTCATTTTATTTAATAAAGTAACAGAACAAACTAACAGAAACAGATAATTAATTTAAACTAAAGTAAATTTTCAAAATGAACATCGTAAACGTCAGTACACCTCTGAGAACGTTTTAACAGGTTTTTCACTGATTTGTTAATTATTTCCGGTTTATTTCTTATGTTGTTGCATACAGTTCATCAAATTTCTAGAGGCTTTCGACGGCTAGACAGAGAAAGCACTACTGACAGGCATCCCGACGGATTTACGCAATGAAAGTACACTCTGCGCATCAAGTATTTTACTATTTCATTCAGACGTAAATGTTAGATGTAAATTTCGCTAAAACATTTCTTTTATTTTCGTTTGTGTTTTTTGCTCATTACAGTTTAATAGAACCTAAGTATGGAGTTTAATAGCAAATTAAGAGGCCGCGTGATTAACAGTCAATCTCGCGAAATAATAGCCAATGTTATAGAGTTTATGAGAATAGAAAGAAACTTTAATTCACCTTCAATACCATTTAAAAATGTAAATGATCGTGTTGCTGCAGCCACAGGAGTATCTAAAAACACTGTCGTCCGCATTTCTGGAGAGAAAAAAAAAGAATCGATAACCGTGAGATATCGGAATTTTCATCACCAAGAAAAACCATTAAAAAACCAAAAACAGTTAATGATATAGATGAAGCTGCACAAGAATCAAATTTTATTTTTTTATTATTAGATAGCTATTTTTGTTTCTGAGTTGTGTTCATTTACAGGCTCAATTTTTTTCCGTTTCTCCTTTTTGATTTTATATGGGGTTTCAAGTTGTTTTTGACTTATTTCGACGTAAATCACAACAACACACTTTTTTAATAAAGCAAACAAGTGTTAAGAGGTATATGTACGTGTAAACTACAATTACAAAAAATTGATATGAAACCCATGAAACCACCAACAAAAATGTAAAGCTAGCTTCCGTACTAGAACATGGTGTCATTCGTCGAGATAATTTATCGTTTTGTTTAATAGATCAAGAAATGTAAATATTCCCCTGTTATTTTTTATAAAATTATAAGAGAAATAAATTTTTTTCTAAATAGTATAGTTTATTATTTTGTAGAAAAACAAAATTTCGAAAATTTTAGTAATGTTTCAGAAACAACCGTTATTAATAATAGGTACCATTTTCCTTAATAAGGTAGAAATAAAATATAAACTATTTCCACGATTTACAAAGGCCTACAAAAAAATTATAGGTATTTTCCGCTATCCTATAAAATTTATATTTTCTGACTCAATTTCAAAAGGTTGAAGGAATTCCAAAACACCTTTTATGGCATAATAATTATTTTCAATTCTACATACTATCTTTAGCTGCTTTTAAAAACGTTCTAAGAAAGTCCAATCAGACCAATTTAATCCCTAAACTATTCCACACTTTTAAAATTTAATTACCTAAAAATATTAAAAACTATTTAAAATAACTTGTTTAGCAGACTGTACAATAGCTATCTTAGTCACACGTAGCGCGTTCTCTGTCTGGGCGTCGAACACCTCTAGAAATTTGATGAACTGTACATTATTAATTTTTTCCAATAACTGTGCTCGGGTATTCATTTCTTCGTTGTACACCTCTGATTTAAGGTAGCCCCATAAAATATAATCCAGAGGTGTTAGATCTGGAGATCTTGGTGGCCAATTGACGGGACCGCCTTGACCTATCCAGCGACTTGAACACACATTAAATGTTTGGTGTAGAATTTTTAAAAAAATCACTTAATACCCAAGCATAGTTAAATCATCGTTTCCCAAATAGATGGATAGGTCGAGGCGATCCCGTCAATTGGCCACCAAGATCTCCAGATCTAATACCTCTAGATTATTTTTTATGGGGCTACCTTAAATCAGAGGTGTACAACGAAGAAATGAATACCCGAGCACAATTATTGGAAAACATTAATAATATAATAACAACATTAGAAATAAACCCTAAATAATTGAAAAATCTGTTAAAACGTTCGCAGAGGTGTATTGACGTTCACGGTGTTCATTTTGAAAATCTAATTTAGTTTTAATTAATTATTTGTTTCTGTTAGTTTGTTCTCTTACTTTATTAAATAAAGTGAGCCCGGTCCTGTGTAGATGTTCAATTTCCTAATGGAAAATGCTGTAGTTAAAAAAAATGAAGATGGTACCTAATTTGTGTAGAGTTTTAAAAGTACAAAGCAAAATATTTAATTTTAATTTTGTAAATACTGATTTATAATAATGTAGTCGCCATTATAAAAATTTATTGTAAAAACATCAAGATGATGCCATTAAATATTATTACATTATTTTATTTGCTGATCCACGTACTATTTAAATGTGCAGTAACATTTATTAAAATCTGATATACAGGGTGATATTCTAGCTAAGAAGAGCAATATAAAAAAAGAGAGTACGGTCCTGGAATTTTTTAAAATTAAATTATGGTTTTGATTGACCTAAGAGGGTGTAACTTTTGTAGAAAATTTTATCAAAATAACTCTAGCCGTTCAAACAAAATGTCCGATTTTAGTTTTGGCAAAAAATCATAAAACACCCTATATCTCAAAAACGAGTAAGATTAAAGGCTAAGTATAGGTGTTTTGAACTCAGCTAAGTATACTCTACCTCCCATTAAGCTGTATCCGTTTAAAACTGAAACACCCTGTATAACTTGCCCTTCATTTTAACTAGTTCCAGCCTGTTGCATACCACTCCATTCTCCATCAGTTTGTAAAACTGATCTTGTTGACATTTATCACCACTTATCCTATCTCTGTAATTCCCTGCACCTCCGGAAACTGTCTCTGATTACTACCTAAACCTTTTGTCTTCAACTTTTCTCTCCACTTGTCTAATTTTAGTACCACTACATATATTAAACTCCACCTAACGTATTCCTGTACGTCTCTTGTAATTTCATATAATTCCAAAAAGAACAAAAGTATTGTGCTTAATCATTAATCCAGGCCTACCTTCACTAAACATCCATTCGTATTTCTATTCTTCATCACATTGGTTTTTCCTCTGCATAGATTGATATCGTACACCATTTGCACATATTTCCCCTGGCTTCTCATTGGCTATCCTCTTGCACAATTTCATTTTGTGCCAAATCAACTTTATTCTCTCATAGTTTGTATATTACTGTATGTCCTCTTTATTTTTGTAAATTTCAACTAGATCACTGATTTCATCTCTCATCCAACATTTTTCTTTTATTTATTATGTGGATTAGGAACAGTATTTAATCTCGAATCTCCGCATCTTCTGTATTTGTCGATAGAGATTTAATCATTGTTAAGAATACCCATAAAATGATGCATACATTACCCATCAGTGCTGTGCAATGCAATCCTCACTTTTAGGGGACTTGCTCGTAACATATAACTAAAATAATAGTCTATAATATTACCTTATATTATTGCTTTTTTAAAAGGAAATTTTTAAACCCCTAAAACATGTTTATCAAATTAAGCATATATTTTTTTCATAAAATAATTATAAAATATTATTAGTCAGTCAGTCCAACAACCTTTAGTTTATTTTTAGAAACAAATCAATATAAATCAGCACGTAAAAAACAAAATAACGAAAGCAGTCTTTTAACATGAAAATCGGATGCAAATTGACTTCGTAAAGAAAAGATTGACAGATTTTCTTTCTATTCTATTTCCTATTGTTATCATTATGTGGGAATGTGGGCGATTGATTCTAAAATTGCAACTTTGTGAGTCATTAATTTTGAAATTAAAACTTTAATATACCGTTTCTCGGTACAATACAATTTAAAAATTTGAAGGTAAAAAATATATTTAATGATAAAATTAACTCGTTGTTCTCTGGTACCGAATTAAAATTAACTCGTTGTTCTCTGGTACCGAATTAAAATTACTTTGTACAATTAAATGTTTCAGTTAATCTTTATTAATAAGATTATTCCAGAGAATAAGGTTTAGTGCGGGGAGTACCTAGTAAAAAAAAGGAATAACGGGCATGTCCCACAAATACAAAAAAAGAAAAGTCCAAAAGACAAACTGTAGACACATGTTTCTGACCTGTTGGTCTCTTCATCATTACGGTGCAGCTAAGTTCAAAAAAAGCATTGGAACTTGCGACGAAATCAAAACAAATAATAGGAAATCAGTCATGGGGCCACACACATTTGTGACTTCGGCTAACATAGATACAGTACTGTAGGAACATAACAGCATCGCCACATAGGTACAGGGTGTCCGCCGGGAAGGTATACTACTTTGTTTGTTTATAATTTTTGATTAAATGAAAGAGAATGGATCTTATATTAATAAATGTTTTATTTAATGTCGGCAATTATGTATGGAATACAATATCAGATAAATGTCCGCCTCTGTTAGCCTCACAAATGCGACCCCTTTTGAACACATTTTTCATTACATTCTCACACATTTCACGCGGTATTTCATTAATTTCATCACGAATTTTTTGTTTGAGTTGCTCAAGCGTTTCTGGTTTTTTTGCATAAACCTTGTTTTTCAGATATCTTCACAAAAATAAGTCCGGAGCAGTCAAATCAGGCGACCGTGGAGGCCAAGCAACATCACCATTTCTTAAAATAACTTGTTGTGGAAAGAGGTATCGCAGTAATTCCATTGTAATCCTGGCTGTATGCGATGTGGCACCGTCTTGTTGATACTACATGTTAATCAAGCCCAAAGCATGCAGTTGTGTCGTTAAAAAGTTTTCAATCATATCACCATATCGCTCCCCATTCACAGTTACCGTTACGCCGTTTTCATTTTCAAAGAAGTAAGGTCTAATGATTCGTCCTGACCAAATTTCACACCAGACTGTCATTTTTAATGGATGCAAAGGTGACTGATGAATAATTTGAGGGTTTTTCATTGCCCAGAACCGACTATTTTGTTTATTTACATATCCATTCAAATGAAAATGTGCCTCGTCACTCATTATTTTTTCATTAAAATCGGGGTTGTCATGGGCGAGCTGTAACATCCTATTGGCATATGTACGGCGGCGTAAATGGTCTTGTGGAAGAAGCTCTTGTGTCAACTGAATCTTATATGGAAACAAATGCAAATCCTTGTGCAAAATTGTGGACAAAGTTGTTCTTTGAAGACCAAGCTCATGAGCACAGCGTCGAATTGAGGTTGATGGATTGTTTTGAACACTTTCTTGAGCAGCAGTAATGTTTTCAGCCGATCTTGCCTTACGTTGTTGTCCATGCTTAGGCCTATTACCTACAGACCCTCTTTCTTCGAAATCATTCACTACACGATAAATAGTGCGTTTTGTTGGCACGTTATTTCTCCCAAAAATTTCACGTAACTTTCTCATCGTCACAGTAATCGATGATTGATTTTGATAAAATGTTTTAACGATTAAAACATGTTGTTTTATCGAATATTTTTCCAATATTTTTCCATAATAAATTTGTCACGTGTCTACTTCACGACTGCCAAATATGAATTGTCAAGACTAATGTTTACCAAAATGGCGGCAAAACAAAGTAGTATACCTTCCCGGCGGACACCCTGTATAAATAGCCACTATGGTGATGCGTCTTTGCCCAAGGAAACTAATAAAGAGAATAAGGTTTAGTGCGGAGAATATGTCCATTATTCCTTTTTTTTTTTTGTTCATTCATTCATTTATATTTCATAAGTTACATTACAATTTAAGACATTTATTGTAATATTATTAAATCTTACCCTCATATTTAAAAATCCCCGATTTATTTGAAAATAACTTTTTCGTTTAGTAAAAATAGATCTTTAGTTTTATCCAGAATGATTATTACATATTTAAATGTTACAGAACCTATTGCCGACCCCCTTACGTGTCAAATAAATCCAGGCCGAGAAACGACCATTGAAATCGTATCTGATAACAAAGGCCTTGGGATATTTTTTGTAGGAGGAAAGGATACTCAAATTCCAGTAAGTAAAATTATAACAAATAGAATTTAATAATTGAAGACACAAGTGGATGAAGGACCTATATAACATTTTGTTTTAAATGGTGTTTTTCTGTGAATGAAGGGCTTATGTACCTAAAATTCGTTTAAAATAATAATAATAATACTCTCCCTAATTCACCCCCTTACGAGTGAATTTCAACCCCTGAAGTCGACTGAACGACTTGTGTAGAGGAAGGGACGGTTATTATTATTATTTGCCGTGGCGCTCCGGGGCGACTTATGTCTTCCATGACAATATATCACCAAATATAGAAGTTGCCAGTGGATAAAGGACCCATGTACTAGGGAATAACTGCCAAACAATAAACTTTAACACGAAGTATCTCGTAAAAATTATTTTGCTAGATAGGCCCTTCATCCACTTGTGTCTTCAATTATTTATTGGTGATTTGAGAGTAGTCAATAAAAAACATTTTGGGCTCGATATATTTCTAAGACAACTAATGACAACTTGGCATTAAAAGCATTGTTGTTCTTAAAATGTTCAAACAAAGTTTATCACACAAAATGGGTTTGCTTCAACAACGAACAACTACTATACTAATCCTTTATAAATAAGCTGTTATTTACTTGTAACTATTCAGTTTTGTGTTTTATGTTTGTAAACATAAAGAGAGCCGTATATGTGTCGCTTCGGCTGCCGCATTAGAAAGAGCGCGACGCTCTACTAAATTGAGTGTTGATGATTACTTTTGCTAACATTGAGATAGAATAAAGAGTAGGTGCTATGACGATGCTAAAGTGTCCGCACCTTTGCATTGCAATTTTACGTCACATGTCAAACTCGAGATAATGAAGCTAGTCAGTTTTGGTGAAAATAAATGCCGTTTTTTTTTAAATAGCTTCATTTAATTGATATAAAATTATTTTCATTGTGTCAGTCTTTAAATATAAAATTATTAACTTCATAGAAATCAAAGTACCACTCAAATCGCCATTTTCATTACACTTTTCCGTCACTCGAAGTGCGTCGATCTGTCATATCGCAAAATAGTGTTTATGTCGTCTCTACTTTATTCTATCTCGATGGTTTAGAATAAACCAGATAACTAGATCACATACAACTCGTACGAGTACGATGTCTATTTTACAGTGTAGCAACACTGCAAAATAAATGGCGTACTTTCCTGGAAATCACCTTTAATTGCATTAATAGCGACCAGAAAAGACATTACAATGATAATAATGCAAATATAATTCTTTAATGTAATTTTGAAAGCATTTTGTTGAATACATTCTGAATTATAACCACAAATAATCCTTTTTTTGTAATAATTTGGCTACTATGTAGATAACGTAAACAAAATTGGTCTAGTAATTGTGCCTGTTCGTTTGTTTTTAATTTGGTCTCACTCGCCACACTTTTATATCTTTCTATACTGGAAAGCATCGCGTGTCCATCTATTAGCTCTGTGATTCTTTTTTTCCAAGAGTAAAGTACAATTTTTTATAATGAATAAATTGTTTTCCTTAAATTAATAATAAAAAAGTTTTCCATATGCCGCCAACTGTCTACGTTAGTAAAGATACTTTACTCTTAAGCAAAATTTATATTTTTTGACGCACCTCGTATACAATTCAAAAAATTTAATATCTGATGGTTGCATTTTAGATTTTAGACCATGCAGAACTGTTTATAAAGAATACATATTTTTTTTTTTTTATAAAACTTATAATACAAAAGTTTTTCATATGTAGCCAACTTACGTAGACACACTAAATACAACATGTTATTATAACAATTACAGTTTCCAAACTTGAGGATTTCCCACCACTACCAAGATGGCAACAAACTTTTTTCTATTACTTGACATTTTCTACATCGGCTTTTTGAAGACGGCGTCATCGAGCGCTTCACCGCTGTGCGGCTGCAGCAAAGTGTTTGCATCTTCTACAGAGTCAAATTAACAATAACTCTATATAACTATACAGGGTGATCCATTAGTATGAAAAAGTCCAATATCTCCGCCATTATTAGAGATATAAAGAAAATATTTTCACAGAACGGTAGACAGCGTTAAACTACATATTTTAAAATTATTTTTGAATATACAGGGTGTTTAATAACTTCTCTCAGGCACCAACTTATGTTCTTTTTAATGGATTACCCTGTATTTTATTTTATATTTGAATTACCCTCGCTTTCTCCATTCTAAAAATATAAATTATTATTGATTTATACAGGGTATTTTGCAGGATATAATCAGTTTTGTATGAAAATCGTATTGAATTCAATGACCTATATCATGCAAAAGAAACAATTGACAACCAATTTTTTTTCACCACAATTTTTCGATCATGGTCAAATTTTATCCGGAGACACTACTTTTTTCAATTCGCATCAAATCTGTACAGGGTGAGTCAAAACACAAATACATAATTTTCTCAATTTTTTTAAATGATTCACCCTGAATTTTACATCATCGTTCAAAAGTATCCTAATTATACTTTAATTTGACTTATGCATTCCCTATACCAAAAGTTAATAGTTTTTAGAGATTTTTAAATTTTAGTAGTAAAAACGATAATTCAGAAAATAATTGACTGGAAATACATTTTATTTATCATTAGTAATTAATTGAATTTAACCTGAAGTTATTATTTATTATCGACTAAGTAAGTTTCTGACAATATGTAATGTCCCTTATACATTTATTAGAAAAAGAAATAAACATTGCAACCACAAACTACGATGAAACCTACTAAATTTTTTGTTTATTAAGTTTTTTGAGTTGGCTTTGAAAACCCCCAATACTGACAGTTTGTTATTATTAATGTCATTAGTGTTGCATTATTTGTTTTCTACAAAGTCTCGCCAGTTTTTTAATATGAATTATAGTCGTGAAGAATTAGTTGATATGGTATGGATTTTGGGAGAATGCAATAAAAACTCTTTGTTAGCAACTAGAGTTTATAAAGAACGATTTCCAGAGCGTAGATCGCCAAATAAAACATCGTTCGAAAAACTGATGGATCGATTTAACCGAACAGGGTCAATTTTATGTGAGAAAATTGATAGGACAAAAACTGTTACTAAAGAGGAAAATGAACTAAATGTTTTGTTAGCAGTTACCAAAAACCCGCATACAAGTATAAGAAATATTTCAAGAGAACAGGAAATAAATTATACGTCAGTACAAAGAATACTTTCCAAAAATAAAATGAATCCGTATCATATGCAACTACATCGAGGACTCACTATTATGGATTTTGAATACAGGGCAACTTTTTGTGAATGGTCACAACAAAAAATTACTGAACGAAGAGATTTTTTCGAGTACGTGCTTTTTGGAGATGAGGCAACTTTTCATCGAAATGGCTGTGTCAATAGGCACAACTTTCATTATTATTCCACTTCTAATCCATACCATATAATTACTCACAGTCAGGAAAGGTGGTCTTTAAATGTTTGGGGTGGCATTATCGGTGAGTACGTGATAGGACCTTATTTTTTTAACGAACCTGTAAATGGGAAATTGAACATAGACTTTCTAGTGAATTCTTTACCAATATTGCTTGAAGATCTTCCTCTTGAAGTACGCCGAAAAATGTGGTATTTACATGATGGTGCTCCTGCTCACAATAACGCTCTTGTAAATGGCGAACTTGCAGATCAAATTCCAGGAAGATGGATAGGAAGAGGCGGGCCAATCCGTTGGCGAGCCCGGTCATCAGATTTAACTAAAATGGACTTTTTTTCTGGGGCTACGTTAAGGCTCTAGTGTATAAAATACCTCCAACTACAGTAGATGATATGAAAATAAGAGTAAGAGAGGCATTTCAAAGTGTAACTGTGGAAATGCTTAGAAATGTGAGTCGGAACTTTGAAAACCGTCTTCAGGCCTGCATAAATATTATGGGAGGCCACTTTGAACAACTGTTCTAATTAAATATAATTTGCAAAAATTACATTTAAATAATAAAGTATGAATTTATACTAGCTATTGATATTTTTTCTTTCTTAATGTAAAAATCGATAATAAATTACAGCTGGTTAAATTGTAATAATTACTAATTATCAAACAGAAGGTTTTTTTATCAATTAGTTTCTGAATTATCGTTTCTACCACTAAAATTTGAAAATCTCTAAAAACTATTAATAATTAATATACTTTTGAACGATTATATAAAATACAGGGTGAACCAATTAAAAAAATTGAGAAAATTATGTATTTTTGTTTTGACTCACCCTGTACAGATTTAATGCGAATTGAAAAAAGTAGTGTCTCCGGATAAAATTTGACCATGATTAAAAAATTGTGGTAAAAAAAAAATTGGTTATCAATGGTTTCTTTTGCATGATATAGCTCATTGAATTCAATACGATTTTAATACAAAACTGATTATATCCTGCAAAATACCCTATATAAACCAATAATAATTTATATTTTTAGAATGGGAAAAGCGAGGGCAATTCAAATATAAAATAAAATACAGCGTGATCCATTAAAAAGAACATAAGTTGGTTCCATAGGGAAGTTATTAAACACCCTGTATATTCAAGAATAATTTTAAAATATGGTGTTTAACGCTGTCTACCGTTCTGTGAAAAATATTTTTTCATGTCTCTAATAATGGCGGAGATATTGGACTTTTTCACACTAATGGATCACCCTGTATAGCTAAGGCGATGAGAAGAGAACGATAGTAAATAAGTTTTTTGTAAAATTACTAGATTCAAAAGTTCCGCGCTTTTTGTAATGCGAAATTGTAGAAAAACGGAAATGATGGATTATTACAGTGGTTTTTAAATTATTACAATCTTGAAAATAATATAAATAAAAAGTAAATTGACATTAATCTAACACCTAATTTTATTTTAATTCATCGTTTTACAGAAATATTATATAACTAATAATTTAATCTACTTGTTTAGGAATATTTTGAATCCGAAAATCACTAAATTGAAATAATAAAATGCAAATACTATTTATCCCATAAATAAATGCACTGAACTCAAGTTTATTTGTTACTAATACTCCGTATTGACGTGTGTGTAGGTATTAATGACATTAATACTTATTTTTCAATTCGTTGTTGCCAAATTGTTCTTCTTACATGTTTTTCTGACAACCGCTCAATTGTGGGACGTAAGACGTAATACAATATATTGTATAATCATTAAAAAATGCAAGAGATGTATTCTTTTTGAGATTTCACACTAGGTTTAATTTAAGTAAAACCCTTAAAATATATGCTTTATTAAAATAAAATGTAATAGCTTGAAAGTTGTCATTAAAAATGATTCTCCCTTCTAATAAAAGTTTTATTTTCATATTGTTGCGAAACACTATCTAGTCTAGAATAGCAGATTACCATATTTCTTCAATATTTTACATCTTTTAAATTCATAAATACTTTTTTTTAGAATGGAATAGTTGTAGTAGAAATATATCCAGGAGGAGTGGCAGACAAAGACAAAAGACTGCAACCTGGTGATAACATCCTGGATGTAAATGGCACATCTCTAAAAGACGTTTCCCATACAACTGCCTCACAGGCTCTAAGACAAACACTGCCAAAGGTGAGGTTTAATTGTTAACATCTAGTTTAATTTATGTAAAAATATTTTGTAATTTTTTGCTTACATAAATTACGTACTTATTTGGATTTTTAAAAATGATTGCCAATGGGATATCGCGGTCTTTCATTTTTTTTTTTCAAATATGAAAATCTAGAGTGGTTTAATCTTCGAATGAGGAAATTGATGTATTTAAAATATTCATCGCTCGTTTCAAGACTTAATTTGTGATTAATGATGTTAATTTTAATTACTCTGCAGATTTCAATCATGTGAGATTCATTAAATCGGCGATGATGTGGGATTTTCCGATATTTCTCATGTTTGTTAAGCAGATGTGCCATCAATTTTCCTCGCTGAAACTTTGATATTTATTTTGAACTAAATAAAAAAAAATACACTTACATTTTTGGTAACAATTTTTAAACTATTTCATTTTTTTTTTTTTTTTCAGATGAAAATGATCATATATCGACCTAACGCAATTGAATACACGCCTGTCGAAGCAGATTTATTTAAAAAACCTGGAAAGGGATTAGGAATAAGTGTCGTAGCTAGAAAATCTGGTAAAGGGGTATACATAGCCGATGTTGTAAGTAAAAAATACTTAATTTATACATTATTTTGTAGTTCATTATCTTTCAAGTTCTTCAAATACTGTGAATACGAGCAGTTCATGATAGACTCGGTGTTAAAAAATTGAGGCGCGTTTTGCAAAAACTCCATATGTCAATTTTTCCTGAATTTTAAAGTATGACACTTATGGGTATATAACATAAGTATATATGTCCTTGTGTGAAAAATATCCGCAAAATCGCCGGTAGTCCAAGATATGAACGGTTATAATATCGATCACTCTGCAAAAACCCCATATATCGTCTTCAATATCATGAAGTGACGTAACTTGAAATTGAAAATTGTTATAAGTCACATATTATGTAAAAAAGTATTGTAATGTGAGCCATTTCATTATTTAGGCATGCTCTAATCCTCCAAGTCCCTCTCTGTCTTATTTGGCCTTTGAGGCTCAACTTCTCCGATTATAATACATAATTAAATCCCTTAAGACCAAACATATATGGACAGTAAAGGTAAATAGTGAACAGTATAAAGACATTCGAAATATATATAAATTAGAATAGTATTTTTTTAAATAAATAAGTGTTTAAATAAATTATTTACAAATAAACTGTTGTTTAAAATAAACAAACATCACATTGGTGTCAGAAGAGGGATGAGACTACCGTGCGATCTCGAGTTTGGATGTCGACCTGGAGAAGATGTAGCTGGTGAAGATTATGCGATCCAGTTACGAAGAAGAATGGACGATATGCATGAATTGGTCCGCTCGCATCTTCAAATCGCCAGCGATAGGATGAAGAAACGGTACGATACCCAAGCTACAGAGGGATGTTTCAAGGAAGGCTAAAAAGTCTTGCTCCATAACCCAAAAAGACGAAAGGGTTATTCTCCGAAGCTTCAAAGGTCTTGGGAAGGTCCGTACCTCATCAAGAATAAAATTAATGATGCCATTTACTGTATAAGTAAGATCCCGAACGTTAAACCGAAGGTAGTGCACCAAAACCGGCTGGCGCCATTTGAGGGTGACCATGACAAGGAAGAAGAAGTAAACCAGCTCCAAGAAACACATGACCTTGTCTTCGAAGAATTTATGGGTGCATGTGGAGGTACCGGAAAAGCAATACATGGTGTTATGACCGAGCAACAACAAGATCTGCTCTCGCTTCCAAAAGACTACTCGCTGGTCCATAGTACTTTCGCCAGCATCAACGACGCGCGAGGACTAGCATATGTGTTCCGTAAGAAGTTTGGTCGACTGGTAGAACTTCAATGTCAGTTACCAGCCCCTGGAAAAGCCTTGAAACTTCAAGACGGGTCACGTTATCTTTTTTATTACTTAGTCTAAGGGAGCACGTACGGGAGTCCCATGTACAGAAACTAGCGATGCCGAAGATAGAAGGAAATCATCTGGATTGGAGGATCATTAGGAACATGGTGGAAGTAATCTTTCAAGATACCGGAGTCCATATACTGGTCTGCAGCCATTCGCCCAGTGCCCAGGTTATAGCGAAGACAGTCCCTTGTTACTTCCATGCAACTGGAAATTGTAAAAGAGGATTCAGTTGCAGATACAACCATTCCAGTTTAGTTTCGTAAGAGTTCCAGGAGGAACTATCTCTTAAGGAGGGGGCAATGTTATGTGAGCCGTTTCATTATTCAGTCATGCTCTAATTCTCCAAGTCCCTCTTTGTCTTATTTGGCCTTTGAGGCTCAACTTGTCCGATTATCATACATAATTAAACCCCTTAAGACCAAACATATATGAACAGTGAAGGTAAATTGTGAACAGTTTAAAGACATTCGAAATATATATAAATTAGAATAGTATTGTTTAAAATAAATAAGTGTTTAAATAAATTATTATTATTAATTAAATTTTGTGTCTTTTATTAATGATCTTATCTGTGGCCCATCGAAAATACCCGCTTTTATTTTTTCTATACTCAGTTTCGGGAATTTTTTGATAGAAATAGGAAAAAATTTCCTGTTTTTTTAAGACCTTTGACAAATTGTTTTTCAAGCCCTAATTTTATATGCAACGCAGGCAAAATTATACGATCTCTTGACACTAAAGGTGGGCTTATCACGTTTTGTTGTCCTGGAACTAGATCTTTCCGAGTAGGTCAATCCTTTTTAACCCAATGTTGATTTTTAGCTCAACTATCCCACAAGCAAAGAAAACTTTGTGTAACCACCTTGCTGGCCTAATAGAAAGTTGACCATTTTTAAATCAACACATATGATCCAGTTATTTTCCACATATTTAATTTTGTCCAAAACCAGAGCAATAGTTGTATATTCTTCTTTTACTTTTGTAGAATGTGCAATAGACAACGACCCTAATTTATTCCCATTTTGTAAGAGAGCACATTTTAGACTCCGTTTTGACGAGTCTATGAATAAACGCCACTCACTAGAAACATAATTTTGTAATCCCATTGCAGCTATCAATTCAGGTACATCTTCAGCAAAATATTTGAGGAAATTCTGTTCTATTGTGCGGTAATAAGAAACTTTAATTTCTTTCGTTACCAATTTTCTTTCTTTTGGCATTGAAGCTAATTTTGACAGTCCCAGATCTCCAATTAAGTCGTTTAAATCGTTTTGGTTGAATGGTTTTGGCGTTCCTAGGTCACATTCTCTACTGTCGTTTTTCGTCTCAAAATCTTCTGGCTCTTAATGTAAAGTCCCAGATTGAGATTCAGACTTAGGGCTCAGGACACGTCTATGTGCCGATTGTATGGAAGGTTATTCCCATTTGGCTCGATTTTTTCGGTTAATACCAGTTATGTTCACCAAACAAAAATAACAATCGTCATGGTGGTTCATGGGTTCATTCCAAATCATAGCGGTTTTATACCTGAAGCTATGTCTTTTCTTATTTGTCCATAAACGTAAGATCTCAACGCATGTTTTGCATACCTTTTGCGGAATCCAAGGCTTATTCTTCATTTCCAGCGGGTACCCAAAGTAATTTTTGTAAGCCTCATTTACGAACGTTATCACATTCAAACGGTATTCTTTAAATACATACTCTCCGCAAATGAAACAAAAATTGTTTGAATCATTCACACATACTCTTCTTGACGATGCCATATCAAATTACAAAATAAAACAATAATTCAAACAAGAAAGATAATTTCACTATTGTCTTACTAAACCTTCCCCTACCGGTCATTAAAGGGAGGTACTTTTACCTTTATAAGTATGTTCTAAGAAACTACAAGGGGTGTCCGCGGTCGTACAACAGAGGGGTCGTTAAAGAGGATTATAAATTAATGGTATTTCCAAATAAAATTAAATATGTATAATAATTCAATAATTATTATTAAATAAACTGCAAATAAACACTATAATACAGCGAATTTTAGTGGAAGCTATAACTCGTAAACAAGAGCTGTCAGAAAAAAGTGGGGGTATATTTAGAATCAGCGACTTAAAATTAGTAAACAACATGTGACAAGTCATTCATCAGTCAAAAAGTGTAATTTTGTTGGCCAGTGTTAACTATAGAGTATTTATTCTATTAGCAAGCGCCATGCGCCCTCACTATATTTCTTAGTTCCTGTTTCTTACAAGTTTATTTCTGTCGTCTGGCCTGACGAGTCGTATGGTCTTTAGCAATAGCATTGCAGTTTTTTAATAAGAATTCATTTTCATTATATATTGGCTTTTGTCTTCAGTAGTAAAGCAAATCGCAGCAGTTAAAAAATAGGTATAGTACTATTTGATTTTTTTTTTTTTGAAGCTGGAAGTGTTAGTTCTTTTAAGTAGCCTAAGACATAAGATAATATAAAGTATAAAGTTAAAGTTGAGGTAATTAATATTATGTAGATCAAAATAATTCGTAATTATAAATTAATTAGATTCAACAAATCCCGTCCCAAAAATGTGTTGTACAATTTTTTAAATGTCTAAAGAAGCTAAAAATAATTTTTCTGGTAACTAAAATCTAATTAAAAAAGGTAAACGGGAGGAGGTTTTGAAAAATACCAATAAGAAAATTACACAGTTTTGTAAAGAACCCCTTGATTCTGCTTCAAAGCTTTTGGTAAAAAATGATATTGATGATAATAAGGAACCATCAACAATATCAACATCAACATGTTTAATTAAGGAAACTGTAATTATTAACGAAGTTGATGAAATTTTTGATAGTAATACTGTACAACTGTCTAAAGATACAGGTTTGTGGATGAAAATATTGTCTCCAATGAATATGCAACTTCTTTTAAAAAATGGTCCAACCCATTATAACAATTCAAATTGTGTTTTTCCGAAATACAAGACGGGGCGAAAATTTTCTGAATCGTACTTCACTCGAATTTTGCCAAATAATTAAAAAATCAGGCGTGATTGGTTTTTATACTCGGTAGCCAAAAATGCAACGTTTTGTTATTGTTGCAGAATATTTAACACTAACACTGGAAAGGCCTGATGACTGATGAAAATGACTCCAATGATTAGCAACATTTTAGTGAACATTTAAATATTCACGAAAAAAATAAAATGCATTTTGAAAATCTTAAAACATCATGGTCTGATTGTTTAACTAGATTTAAAACAAACAATACGATTGATATCTCATAAATATTTGTTTAATGCTGAAATTAAATATTAACATGCAGTTTTTTTTTTTTTTTTTTTTTTGTAATGGGATGGCATCAGACATGCAAGTCTATTTACCACAGAAAGTAAACATGCAGTTATTGAGCGAGTATTCTTTGTTATACTCTTTTTTTAGCTAAAAGTCTGGCCTTCCGCGATCAAAATTTAAAGTTGTTTCAAAATAATAACGGTAATTTCTTGAAATGTGTGGAACATACTAAGAAGGCACAAATGCAGAACAAGAAAATAAATCATTATCTTGGCAACAAAATTCAAAATGAAATAATAGGTAATAATTTAAGCGAAAATATTTTAAATATGGTAAAAAATTCGAAATATTTTTGTATTGTTCTTGATTGCACTCAGGACATGAGCCATCAAAAAAAAAACATAATTTAAATTTATGTGACATGAGAGGCCAGGGATACGATAATGGTGCCAACATGCTAGGCAAGCATGCCGGTTTACAAAAAAAGTAATTTTTCGTACCTTGTTATAACCTCTGTTTAAATTTGGTTGTAAATAATGTAGTAAAAAGTAACAATTGTTTTCTACATTTAAAGAACTTTACAATTTTTCTTCTGGCCTCAACTAATCGTTGTTGAACTATTTTAACAGAACATATTTCCGATTTAACTTTAAAACCACTTTCTGAAACTAGATTGTCGAGCAGAAGTGATGCCATTAATCCTTTAAGGTATGAGCTTGAGGAAGTCTATGACACTTTGTATAGTAATATTTTGTGAAAGCATATGGCTAAATCCAGTGGCGTAGCTAGAAATTTTTCATGGAAGGGGTTTCTGAGTACTATGGGGGTGTTAAGAAACAGTTAATAGCGATCAGGTCCAATAAGATAGTTGAAACGGCGATGCGAAGGTCTCCATGGGGGGTCCTGCCCTCCGTGGCTACGCCACTGGCTAAATCTTTAGCAAATAAATTAAAAAGTTACCAGTTTATATGTACATTAATATTATGGTGTACTGTTCTGTTTAGAGTCAATATTGTTTACAAAATCTTGCAGTTGTATTATTTAATTAGCGATTACAATGTTGAATGTTCATAGTACATATAAAATATAAAAAAATATATGCGCTAATTTAGTAAAACGCGCTGTGATCACATTTGCACGATGGCGTTCAAGCTGGTTGCAACGGCTATGATGAGAAGGGCCCACCTATCAATTTTTTTTTCATGTTTTCATGGTCCCACTCATTGAAGAGTAAAAAAGTCCTCTTTGTCCATTAATTCTTTTTCCAAGATTGCTACTCATTTGAATATTCTTTCTTCTCAGAGGTCCACTGCCTTAACGAGAGCCCACTTCCTAAACGAGGGTTCAGTGCTTGAACGAGGGTCTACCGGTCTGGCCCAATCCCGACACTGCCTTCGAGCAACCCCCAAATTTTTAAATTAGATGTTGAGACGTGCAATACCTCGTTTTGTTTTACATTGTATGAAAGAAAAAGATATACCTAGTATCGTCTTTAAAAATTTTAAACTGTTTATTATGTTCCTTGATGTTTTTTAAGATTATATTTGTGTCTGCACCAGAAGATTGAGAAACTTGATTTTCCAAAATATATGTGCTTTTAAATAAAAACTTTTATTTATTTTTAAAAAATTCTACAATGGGGAAATTATCCTTTTTCTGTTTATTTTATGTTTTTAAAGTGTATCGTGTCATTTTGTTAAAATGTACATATTTGTTTTCTAGATTAGTGGGAGTACAGCTGAATTAGATGGTAGAATAGCGAAAGGAGATCTTCTAATATCTGTAAACGGACAGAACGTAGACAACTCTACAGGAGAAGAAGCGGGGGCCATATTAAAGACTGTAACGGGCAAAGTATCCCTAAAACTTAACCGATACAAACCCTCGACGAGATAATAAGTTTAAAGATTAAGATTAAAAAAGCGTTATGAAAGTTTAAAACAAAGTGTTAATTTTATTTATTATCCATAAGCCTTTTATGCCAAGTATTTATTTTTAGAATTTATTAAGATCATATATTTAAATTAAAGATGCAAAATTATATTTTGCTTAGATTGAGTTTTAAATTTTAAATGAGTAAAAAGTATTTAGAGAAACCAAATAATATTTAACTGCAAAGCAAATGCGGTGCAGTTTTCTAAAATATATTGCTGAACGAACAGCTTTTTCTCATTAAAAATAAAAACTAATAAATATTAGATTATGAAGATATTTCTAAAATGAATAGAATATCTTCAGACAATTTTAAAATTTGATCTATTAAAATGTCGAAATGTAAAATAATCACTATTAATATTACGGTAAATTTTTATTATATTTCTGATCACGTCAATTAAAAAATATTTTTGCATAGATGGCATTTTTGAGACAATTTTGTTACCTAATATAGCGGGATTTTTAAATCTGTATTAACTCCTCATTTGTCCATCGTATATTTGGGAAAACGTTGACAACGAGAAAGAATAATTTAGTTTTTATATCCAAATTTAAATTCATCAGTTACCAACATTATACAAAAAATAGAATATATATCAAGCAATTATTAAAAAACAAATAATTGTAAACAAATATGAGGGGTATTCAATGTGTCCTAGATAAGAATATAGTGCAAATTATTTAAAATTTTATAAATTGAGGGGGGCAATAATACAGTATAAAAAAAAATTGGTAACACACTTTGTGTTGGCACCCAAAATCGATTAATTATTGTAAATATAGACCTTGAATTCCTCTAATATATATTGATGATTTTGTAATTTTACTATGGATCACATATTACCTATTACAATTACCCATAAAGATGTAATAAAATCTAAAATCCACAATATTGAATAAACATATTTTTTTCTAATGTTGATAAGTGAAATCTTTTATAATCGCAGCAAGTGTCAAAATGATCTACTTTATGCAACTAGTTGCATAAAGTTAAACATTATGTAACTGGTTACGAGAGGTTCATTATGTCACCAGTTGCGAAAAGAAAACACATAAATTGACCTTTTCTCTTTCGTTTTAAAATCAATATAGACATTGCTTCATTGATTTGAGTTTATATCGAGGGAAGGTTGGCTATATATAAATTAATTTTGTCAGCAAACACGATTCTACATTTCTTCCCTAACAATTTTGTCCAAATATTGGTTTTCCAAAATTTTTGATTAGAATTATAAAAAATTAATGGTTTTTACCAAACACAATTTTAATAAATAACAGTTAAAATTAGAAAAAAAATCTTGTATGTAACATGTTACATCAATAAATATAAGATACTGATGTTCAAATGATGAGTTTACAAAAATCCAGTGTCACAATATCAAAAATCACATTAATTCCTTTCATTTTGATTTTTTTTTCAACTTGAAAGCCTTGTGATTTTAGATGTATTAATATAAATGATCGATTAAAAAATTCATTAGATTAAAATAGTGTATAAGTAACTTTATGATAAAAATTTATTTTGGGTACTTTAAGATTTGTTGCATTTAATTATCACTAATAAACACTAGGTATATGTTTAACGGTTATCTAGTCAAATTTACTTGTTATAATATAAAGTGGTTACCTAGAACATCCGATATAATAATATTATTATTCCAAGTTATGAACAAATAGCTTATAAATTTCTGATAAAACAATTCAAAATTGGGAAAACAAAACAGGATAATCTCCTTTCTAACATATTCAGTTTCTGAAACAAAATATTAAAATTCGCAACTTTTTCATTCTCGGATCCTTATGCCTATTTCAGCAGCAGTCTACTGCTGCTTCTCCAGTTTTTTGTTTCTTCTTAGCCTGTTAATTTCCTCGTTACTTTTAACTCTTGTCTCCCCATTCTTCCTATTCATTATTTGCTCTTATAGGTTATCCCTATTATTTTCGTTTCTTAATCACAACTCTAACATTTTCTACAGTTAATGATTCTTGTTTAAAGAAAAACTACAATATTTATTTTTTATTTAAAACTTACAGGATTGTGTTTCTCAGTAAGGTTAGAAATTATATGTAGGTTTTACACCAAACTCTATTAAAACGCAGTAGTCCCTATTTTGAGTATTATTCATATTTTTTAAGTTAAGCTACAGAGTGTAATAATGAGTTAATGAGTTTGTATCTCGTATTTTACTTGGAACGAGATCCAACTTTTGTTCAGAGTGTTTTCAAATTCGCGCCCCACAGAAGGTGTCCCATTATTGCGTAAGTTTTAAATAAAAATTATATCGATTTAAGAAATGCATATTTTAAAAATATTTTTGGATATACAGAGTGTTGAACTTTAAAATGTCAAATGAATAGCATTGAATAGTATTTTATTTCAGTTTTAGAATGCTCTGGTAATACTGTACCCTACCATAGAATTTTTTTAAAAATATTACGGGGTTGTTACGCAATATATTTTTTGTGAAATTAGCTAATAATGCAGATCGTAGATAAAATTATTATTATTATTATTATTATTATTATTATTATTATTTGGGTAGGTTAGCAACGATTTAAAAATTATTTAAATTGCAGACTTACAAGGTATCAAGCTAACGAATAGTGATGCTAGAAATGGTTCATTGTATACACTGTTTTGAAACTTGTCATAAATATAGCTCATTTTAAGTTCAATTTTCTCAATTTTTTCAAATACAACACCCTGTATATTATTTAAGCATAAATTTCCTTATAAATTTACCTATCCAACGATACCAACATGTTAACCTTTTTTGTATCCCATCAGTGAGTAATTGATCGATAGCCGTTTTATTAATGGATAGGAAGAAATTTTGAATACAAAAGTTGTCCGACCATGTTTTAAAATTATTCTTAAATATACAAAGTAGTTCATAAATGAGGGATGAACCAAATTTATACTTTTTTTAGACTAAACAATCTGGATCACAGATTTGGTTTTTTTGACATCGTTAAACAATTTTAATAGTTACAAAATTCCTAAACTGTTTTCTATTTTCATTCATTTGTTATTATGTGTACAGGGTATCCCTAAATTCGAGATTACAATATTTAAAATTAGTTCAAATGCATACATGTATGTTATACCACCAATTTATAAATAAATTTCTTTGTTTTCTTATTTTGTTTGGCAATGCTATACCCAAACGAATTTTTTTTCAAGAGTGATGGTTTTATTATAAAAATTAACATTTCTAATTATAATTGTTCTAATTATAATTGTTCTAATTATAACTGTCGATTAAAAACAAAACTCCTAAATTTGTGTTAACCATTAAAATAATGAATGGTTTTCTGTTCTCCCTACGTCACAAAAATATGTTTTGATATAAATAATGCAAAAAAAATAAAAATTAATTGGTAGTATGACATACAGAATATTCCTTTTAAAAAATTGAAAAAATCGTAACTTTAAGTTTTGACACACTCTGTATACAACATAGCAAATTAATGGTCTATTAAAATTGTTTGATGATAAGAAAACAATCAAATATATGTAACTACCTACAGGGTGTTTTGCTTTAAAAAGTACAAGTTTGGTCAGCCCCTCGTTTATGAACCATCCTATAAATTTAGGAATAACTGTTAAATATGGTCATACAACTTTTATATTAAATTTTTTTTCGTATTTCCAATCATAAAACAGCTATTGATCAATTTCGCACTTATGGAACACCCTGAATATAATTGGCTAACCTGTTGTTATCGTTGGATAGGTTTATTTATTTGAAAAAAATTGAGCAAATTGAACTTAAAATTAGACATAAGACATGTTTCAAGACATTCTGTATAAAATAAATCAATTATATCACCACTATTCGTTAGCTTGGTATCTTAAGTCTGTATTTTAAACAATTTTGAAGTCAGTGCTAACCTATGGAAATTATGATAATTTAATTTTGGGCCTGTATCATTCTCTAATTTCACAAAAAAATGTATTGCTTGGCAAATCTGAAATAAAAAATATATTTAAAATATTTACATTTTTATTTGTCAGGCAAAAACGTAACACCCTGTTTATTCAAAAATATTTTTAAAATGTGTTTTTCAAATTTATGTAACTTTTATTTAAAACTTGTTTGCATGTCTATAACACAAATTGAAATATCGATTAATTACGCACTAATGGGATACCCTGTATAATACTTATAATAATTATCCCTTTAAAATTTTAATAATGTTTTCATTATTACAATACAAAAATGTATGTATATATTCATTTTCTAATTATTTATGGTATATTACTTTTTCCAACCTTGATGTCATTAGAATTATCTTTTTCTATTCAATTTGTTTAAGAATAGTTTTCTTTTTCGTTTGTTACTGCTTGTGCATTAAAATTTATCGTTCTGTCTAATCCACTACATTTCTTTGTTATCTTGGTTAAGCAGTTAGCGATCGATGTATTTATTATGCCAAAACATAAATTCCTACCTGTATTTTTTTATTTCCAATGTTGACATATCTTAGAATCATTGCTTTTATGTTATATTACACCTTAATTGATCCAATTTGATATTTTATCTAACAAACCGATTAAGGTAATAAAAAATAAAAGGTCATTACTGTGTTATTTCTAACAAAACTGAATAATTATTGTAAAGGGTGTCTCATAATTAAATTTAGTTTTTTAACAGACTTCAAAAAAAGGAGGAGGTTCTCTATTCGTTGAAATATTTTTATGTATGTTCAGCGATACTTCTTGACCGCGTTGTCCGATTTCTATGATTATTTTTTTATTAGAAAGGAAATTGAATTGTAATTTTAAGATCACAAGATATGTAGATTTTCATATTTAAATAAAATTTCTTTTAATTGCTGACCATTTTGTTCTTGGCACTGTTCCAATTTGGACTTCAAATACGTAGCTTTAAATATTCTGTGGTTGCTGGAGGATCATTGTACACAACACTCTGTAGATACACTCACAAAAAAATTGT